AAATGTAGGCATTTCTTATAACGAAATGAAAATACACTTACAAATTCCTGAATATTGCCAACTTTCTGGGAATACCAAACATGTTCTAATTTACACAAAAAAAATAGTTTCCTTATGTCTGCCACCCAGGTAGGCTTCGCCCTCACCCCCGATTTGTCTAAGTTATATAACATGTTGTAGCATTTACGTGGGTATCTGTTACTTGGCATATTGATGATTTTAGCCCAATATTTGATGCATCGTTTTGCGGTGTAAAAGAAAATAGGGTATCTTCCACACTCGCCCAGTACACAATTGTTAGGTGATCGTGTGGAAACACCAAGGAAATATCTGCAAGCAAGGTATTGAATACATTCCAGACACTCATATTTATTAAACCCCAGACCTCCGAACCATAGGTTAAAATAGGTAAAATCGTGGAATCAAAAATTTTAAAGAATGATTCATAATTTAAAGGGCCGATTTTTATAGTATTTTTCATAATAGCCATAAATGTTTTTTTAGCTTGTTGTGCTAAAGACTTCGTTGCAGGTGTCCACTGTAACCGACATGATAACAAAATTCCCAAATATTTGTGATGTGAGACTACCTCCAGCTGTGTGTTTTTAAAATACCACTTATCAGATTTGGTTAGGCGACCCCCCCCCCGCTTTGAAAACGATTACTTTTGTTTTGTCCAAGTTCACTTGGTACCAGTACCAGTGATAGTTTGATTGAGGAGAATGCAGACAGATTTGACAGTATTGGCAAGATGCGAGATACAAAAGCAAATTTGCATATCAATATATTAGTAAAACCAGTTGCACAGCAGCATCGGCGAGTGCCCTTCCATGTACGTGAGCAAGTTGAAGCAGAGATAAATAAGCTAGATCAGTTAGACATAATAGAGAAGGCAGATGGAGCCACTCCGTGGGTATCTCCCATAGTAATAGTACCTACAAATACAGGTGTTGACATAAGAGCTACCAATCAACCTATAGAAAGGGAGAGACATCCCATGCCAACAATAGAAGACCTGATTGTGGATCTGAATGGTGCTTGATCTCAACCAAGGTTACCATCAGCTTGAGCTGGACACATGATCAAGGCCTATAACTACGTTTGCTACGCACATGGGTTTATACAGATACAAGAGACTGGGTTTCGGAGTAAACTCTGCTGCTGAAATATTTCAGAAATCAGTATCAGACATGATACAAGGTATACGTGGTGCTAGAAATCTTTCGGATGACATTATCATATATGGTAAAACACAACAGGAACATGATGAAATGCTAAGAGCAGTGTTCCAAAGGCTGAGAAAGTATAACATCACAGCTAATCAACAGAAATGTGAGTTCAGCAAGTCTTCAATTCAGTTCTATGGTCATACATTTTCCAGTGCCGGTATAATGGCGGATGATAAGAAAGTGACAGCAATAATCAATGTCAGAGCACCAGAAGATTCAACAGCTGTGCGTAGTTTCCTAGGCATGGCTCAATACATTGCTCGGTTTGTGTCTAACTTTGCAACTATTGCAACACCATTACGTACTCGTAGATGCAAGCCCAACAGGCTTTGGTGCAGTCTTAACACAAGAGATACTTGTAATATCATTGCATATGCAAGTCGTGCACTGACTGATACAGAGTCGTGGTACAGCCAGACAGAGCGAGAAGTCCTTGCAGTTATATGGGCTTGTGAACATTTTCACTTCTATGTATTTGGTTCTGAATTCAAGGTGATAACCGACCATAAGTCATTAGAAGGTATGTTCAATAAGCCTAATTCTAAATTAACAACCAGACTTGAAAGACTAAGTTTGCGTCTTCAAACGTATCAAGTAGTTCTTGAGTATCAACCAGGTGAAACCAACCCTACTGACAGCCTAGCCAGCAAACCACTGTAAAGGCCATGTTTCACATATTGATACATACATAAATTTTAGAATTGAAAATGCCGTACCCCCTGCTATGACAATGGTCGAAATTATACAAGCAACATCGGAAGATGAAATTTTAAAAGTTATTAACACACAAAAGTGGTATAATTTGCATCACGATGTTGTACAATATAAAGCTGTCAAAGACGAACTGTCAACAGCCAGTGGAATTGTGTTACGTGGAAACAGAATTGTGGTTACAAAGAAATTGCAATAAAAAGCCATATGTTTAGCCCATGCTTGTCATCAAGGTGTTGTGAAAACAAAAAAGTTGCTGAGAGAAACTCTTTGGTTTCGAAGTATTGGCAGAATGGTGGAAGAAACTGTAACCAGGTGCACACCATGTCAAGCATCAACACATGGACCAAAACCTGCTGGCGAGCCATTAAAAATGTCTACACTGCCAGATGGTCCTTGGCAAGAGGTCTCAGCAGATTTCTGTGGTCCATTCCCAAATGGTAAATATTTGTTGGTAGTTATGATTACAGTAGATATCCTGAGGTAGAAATTTGTCATTCTACATCTGCAGAAGCAGCTATCCCGCACTTTGATGCAATCTTTGCCAGACAAGATATACCGGACATTGTTAAAGCCGATAATGGCCCGCCATAAAATGGAGATGAGTTTAAACGCTTTTCTAAATATGCTGGATTTAGACATAGAAAAATAACACCATTGTGACCAAAAAGCTAATGGAGAAGCCGAGAGGATGATGCGAACGCTGGAAAAAGCAGTCCGTGCAGCCACGATAGAAGGCAGAAGCTGGTGCCAAGGACTTTTTCAATTTCTGCGTCAGCTACACCAAATTCAACTACAATAATTTCTCCATCAGAAGCTTTGAATAGTGGAAAAATGAAAACAACCCTGCCTCAGATATATAATAATAAACCCGATAGGAAAATTCAGAGAAAGAAAGAGAAAATTATGTATGAAGAAATATTCAGACACGCGTAACCATGCAAAAGCATCAGAATTAGTCATTGGAGACCGAATCCTTGTAAAACAACGAAAGAAAATAAAATGTCAACTGCATTCAATCCTGAGCCATATGAAGTTGTGAATAAGAAAGGTTGTATGACCACCGTCCAGAGAGGAAATCGTGAGACCACCAGAAATGCTTCATTCTTTAAAAGAATTCCTAATGGAAATAACGTAGAAACTAATCAAACAATATCGGACAATACTCAAATATCAGACAATCCTCAAACATCAACAAATCCACCAGAATTGATGCGTAGATCCAAGAGAGAAAGACATAAACCAAGTTATCTTCAAGACTACATATCTTAGTATCTAAAACATGTTATACTTTCTTGATTTTGGCAAAATAATCCCAGAAAGATGGCATTTGAGCAGAAAGCCGTCGACCCCTCCAATCACGTTTGATACAATTAGTTAAGTTTAATATATATATGATATAAATTTCTAAACGTGTCATACTTAAGATGGCATTTAGGAGTAAAAGGACGTCGATTCCTTCACTCACAATTGAAACGATTTTAACTGTTAGTGTTATGTAATTTCTTTTGTTTCATTGAGTGAACATATGCCTATGTTTTAAAAATGTAAGTTGAATGTTCATGGATATTGATTTGCAAGTTCAAGTTCGTACTTTCATAAATATTGTTTGTTCTTTGACTTTGATATTCACAATATCAACAATTACAACTCGAACACTTTTAAATATTAATGAGTTATATTTGTATATACGCATTCGTGATTTTCCTTGTTTATCTAAAAGAGAAGAGCGATCAAGTATTCTACTTCTGTGTGATTTATGACCTTTGACCTAGTCTTGTTTTGTAATTAATTATACGGGCATGCTCAGTAGCACCGAGCAACCAGGAGCAGTCATCAGTTGGTTAAATAAACAAACCAGTCCTTTCCCTCAGATAAACTGTCTCACAATTGCTTAACAAGAAGCAGTTTGGTTTACTGTTCTAGATTCGAGCGTATCTCAACTAAGAATATCTGAAATGCGCCGGTGATCTTCCGTGGAAACAGTATCGTAGTGCTGTAAACTTGACACGTTTTTGTGACTAGTTATCTTTATGATTGGTTGTGATGGAATGCCGGCTTTTGTCGGGGTAATAATGAGTCCAACTGGTCTTTTGGTATATTTCCCATCCACTGAATAATATCGTCAGCCATTATCGAAACGCAGACGATAATCTCAAATTACGCGCGTTGTTTGTAAACAGAAAGTAGTAGTAGAAAATAGACGCGTTTACCAAATATGGCAAACGGGCCCGGGCGTGATATGGAAAATTATTGCACGGCTTGCGCATCGGGATTCCCATAGCGTTACGAGGCCGGTCAATACGAGGTATATGATAATGGATATTACAGCGATATTGGATATGTTCCATCGTCGTCAACTACTAAACATGTATGCGTCATTTTGAAAATGGAATATAAATGGGGTGTCACCATCAGATGGAAATGCGACGGCTTCAACTTAATTAAAGCGAAAGGGTCGTCACCTGCGCACGCGCGGGAATAGAGTTCCAAGCGACGATAAAAACGCACGCTAAAAACGCAAAGGCTCATGGATAGACGCTTGTTTGTAAACAATGACACAATATGGCCATCTGACACATGCTCATGTGATGATCCTCCTCGCTTTAAATAATAGAAAATGCGTCGTCGTCAACTGCAATAAGAAACCGCGTCTGTGACTACTGCGCCAATATGTGTTAGCGACAATTACATTTCGATTTACGACAACTACTAATTGACGACGGTCAATAGGTCATAGTAATAGGTATTAAGTAAATAAGTTTTTTGCTGATTGCTTCCACTCCAATTGACAAATAGGCGTCGGAAATTAGCTTTTGTGAAAGAAGCAGCAGGATTTTGATGTATATTTTTTACAATGCAATAAAATTGACGCAGCAGCTGGTGAGTCACGTACAGATTTCCATGAAAATATGTGTGATGTTAGCTTAAAACTACAATGTTGATGGTGTCAAGCGGTCACTGCCTTAATTAGAATATATTCATCGGCGAATTGAATATGTTTTGGCTTTTTTGAAAACTGTGTTTGAAACTATATATTAAAACAGTCCAAATATAACGTAAACTTGAAAGCTCAAAATCCTTGCACGAAACGACACACATTAACTGGGTTTTGTGGCAATGCTGTAAATGAGTTCCGGTGTCAAAATGTAATATGTCCTACACGGCACAAGTAAAAAAAAGAAGAACGATGGATCAAATAATAGGATTAGGATACTAGATGAACTAAAGCAAAGTAATCCAGAAGTTCGACTTGTGTGTATTCTTAAGGTCGAGCCAGGAAGTACAAGGAAGTACAATCATAACGATAACTATTTGATATACAGACAAGGAGGTATGTCTACGAACACAAAATAACGTTGAATCCCATCACGGTAACTCGTATGTACTTATAGAACGAATTGGTAAATGTTGTGTGAATACTCAAATGATTTGGGACAGTCATCCACAAAGAAACCCATAAGAACTGTGTTCAATTTCAGGTTTGAATATTTCTTTATTATCTATAGCTGTGTTTGAAACTTTCACCTAGTGGAACATTGGCTCTATATCAGCCGTCACAACCACAGCTTCTTGTCTAAAGCTCAAAAGTACACTTAAGATACTATTCATCAGATCAGATAAGTCATGCCATTTTGCCCAAGAGTTGAAAAACACTTCTTGGTTTATTGGAGGCACGATGGTGTGGTATGAACCACACTTTACCATCATTCCCATCCAGCAATTCAAATAGGAAAAAACAATGTATTTCTTGTTAATAATAACATCTGTTCTCAATCTCGTGTCAAGGTCTTAGAAGTCCAACATCAGCATTTATTTTTGGTAGATCTAAATCATGTTGTGCAGCCATCTTGTGATGTCTTTCTTTATATAATCATTCATCTTCCTTTATTGTGTATATATGTGTGGGTTAGGCCATTATATCGCTAGTGATGTTGGCTCTATTGCCACCTGCATCCAGTTTTTTGTTATTAGATACACCCTACTATCAGGGTCCAAAAACAGCATACATCTCTAAAGCTATAATTCCATCATTGGCTTTGCAAGTACAGGGGTAATGGCCATGCACAGTCCCACTATAAACTACAGAGGGACTGTAGGCCATTGTACTTTCAGAATTACCACCCTTATATGGGCCCATATGGCCTTGTTCTCTGCCTTATGTGATGATGTCTCTAGTGTTAGCTTACTAATCCTTTTGTAGTTCAGATCATGAAAAATGGTCGGGTAGAAAGCATTACAGGCGGTGCAGACTGTCCTATTTTTGCATTTTTTACTAAATACCCTGGTCTTAGACATCCAAAAAATGATACCCTTTGACTTTAGGAAAATCAGCCTGTCTTCCTTGCATAATTTATCACATTTGTCCATGAAATGATGAACATCTTTGTAATCTTGCTGACTGGCTTAGAGCTATGGTTTCAGTGTTGTTTTGTTGTCTCTTACTAAACCACCTTGATCTGACTGACTAGGAGATTTCAGTAGCATAACTTCTCTTCACTATATTGGACATGCATGTGGGTTGTTACCTAAACCAGTTGTTCGATATACATGTTTTTAACTCTGCTTTCTAAATCCCATTGATAGCTAAAAGTGACAGACTTCTTTCGTTTTCTGGAATCATAGACCTTACTACTCCATCTCTCATGCATATAATGACAGTTTCTGCACCAGAAATCCTAGGTGGTCATAGAACGCCATCGTTCACAAAGCATCAATGCTCTGTGTGGCATATTCACACTTGCATAGAATGTTTCGTAATGCCAGCTTGAAATCTGGCCGGTCATCAAGTGTGCATTGGCAATCATCTCTACATTGCCATACCTCTCCTCACTTTCTTTCATGGCTGTCGGATTTTCTGTTTCAGCATCAAGGTAGCTGTAACCAATCACTATTTGTTAGGCTCAACAACTATGCACTGCTCCAAATAATTCATATTTTTGTTCATATCTTTCGTAACTGGTAGTATTCAGGCATTGAATTGATATGATCTTTTATATTCTTCCATTCATATACTTTTTTTATATCGGTCCAAAGCTTCTGCAATATCCCGACTACCGCTTGGATGCTCTCTTCAGATGATACTCAATACAGAAGACCTATGATGAACATCACCAAGATTTCAATCACGAGAGCAAACAATATGAGTGTACATGTTTACTGTTATGTGTTACTGCTGTCAGTGATAGTATTTACTGTTACGTGTTACTGCTGCTCATGGAAGTGTTGACTGTTACGTGTTACTGCTGCTAGTGAAAGTGTTTACTGTTACATGTTACTGCTGCTGCTGCTGCTAGTGAGAGTGTTTACTGTTACGTGTTACTGCTGCTCATGAAAGTGTTTACTGTTACATGTTACTGCTGCTAGTGAGTGTGTTTACTGTTACGCATTACTGCTTCCAGTGAGAGTGTTTACTGTTACGTGCTACTGCTGCTCATGGAAGTGTTTAGTGTTACTGCTGCTATTGAGAGTGTTTACTGTTACATGTTACTGCTACTAGTGAGTGTGTTTACTGTTACGCATTACTGCTTCCAGTGAGAGTGTTTACTGTTACGTGCTACTGCTGCTCATGGAAGTGTTTAGTGTTACTGCTGCTATTGAGAGTGTTTACTGTTACATGTTACTGCTACTAGTGAGAGTGTTTACTGTTACGTATTACCATTGCTTGTAGAAGTGTTTACTGTTACATGTTACTGCTACTAGTGAGAGTGTTTACTGTTACGTGTTACCACTGCTCGTAGAAGTGTTTATGTTACATGTTACTGCTACTAGTGAGAGTGTTTACTGTTACATGTTACTGCTACTAGTGAGAGTGTTTACTGTTACGTATTACTGCTGCTAGTGAGAGTGTTTACTGTTTCGTTTTACCACTGCTTGTAGAAGTGTTTACTGTTACATGTTACTGCTACTAGTTAGAGTGTTTACTGTTACGTGTTACCACTGCTCGTAGAAGTGTTTACTGTTACGTGTTACTGCTACTAGTGATAGTGTTTACTGTTACGTATTACCATTACTTGTAGAAGTGTTTACTGTTACATGTTACTGCTACTAGTGAGAGTGTTTACTGTTACATGTTACTGCTACTAGTTAGAGTGTTTACTGTTACGTATTACTGCTGTTAGTGAGAGTGTTTACTGTTACGTATTGCCACTGTTTGTAGAAGTGTTTACTGTTACATGTACTAGTGAGAGTATTTACTGTTACATGTTACTGCTACTAGTTAGAGTGTTTACTGTTACGTATTACTGCTGCTGCTAGTAAGAGTGTTTACTGTTACGTTTTAGCACTACTTGTAGAAGTGTTTACTGTTATATGTTACTGCTACTAGTTAGAGTGTTTACAGTTACATGTTACCACTGCTCGTGGAAGTGTTTACTGTTACGTGTTACTGCTACTAGTGATAGTGTTTACTGTTACGTATTATCATTACTTGTAGAAGTGTTTACTGTTATATGTTACTGCTACTAGTTAGAGTGTTTACTGTTACATGTTACCACTGCTCGTGGAAGTGTATACTGTTACGTGTTATTGCTACTAGTGAGAGTGTTTACTGTTACGTATTACCATTGCTTGTAGAAGTGTTTACTGTTACATGTTACTGCTACTAGTGAGAGTATTTACTGTTACGTGTTACTGCTACTAGTTAGAGTGTTTACTGTTACGTATTTCTGCTGTTAATGAGTGTTTACTGTTACGTGTTACCACTTCTCGTAGAAGTGTTTACTGTTATATGTTACTGCTACTAGTGAGAGTGTTTACTGTTACATGTTACTGCTACTATTGAGAGTGTTACTGTTACGTGTTACCATTGCACTTCGTAGAAGTGTTACTGTTATGTATTACCACTGCTAGTGAGAGTGTTCACTGTTACGTATTACTGCTGCTCGTGGAAGTTTTTACTGCTACGTGTTACTGCTGCTAGTGAGTGAGTTTACTATTACGTATTACTGCTGCTCGTAGACGTGTTTACTGTTACGTGAGCTTGCTGCTAGCGGAGGTTGAACTAAATGAACAAGTGATTTACAATGCAGTGGTGAGTGGGCCGTGTGTCAATAACTAGCAGATTTATACATGTAGTGTTGAATTATTAAACTTGTAGATGGCATTCAATATCATGCCTTGAGACACGCTTAACCTTTCAATAATAATTCCCACACCTCTTTACCTTTTTCTAACTTCTTGCATAAATCATAAAGGTCGATATGATAACGTGAGGTAAAAAAATATTAAAGTGAGATAATTCAAATTTAGGTTTATATTTTATCAATAAATGTTAATTTAAGAGATTATTATATCTTTGGAATTAAATTAGTCTTAACTAAACAAGTCTGTCAATACGGTTATATTTTGCATTGTTAATCTACATACAACATTACGCTGATTTGACAGGCATTGCATATCACCTTATGTCATTTGTCTTTTCAGCCAGTCGATGTCAATACACTTCTCCCGAATATATCCATGCTCTCGTCGCATGGGTGATTAATAAGGCTGCATGGAAAACGCATGCCGTTCCTTATTTTGGTGACAATCGGAAAATAATCACTGGATTGGTTCACAATTTTATTCACGAATTACAATGTTATCGACATTTGGCTTTCTGGCACAATCAATTTACCCAAATATGTATCTGAATAAAAACTTTGTGATTGTTGATACGGAGAAAACGGTCTTGTTTTGTACTACATCCCTACAACATATGCAAATTAGAGAGTAGATCGTCATTAATTTCTATGGGCGGTGTCTTTTCATAATGTGTGTGTATATTTTACTTAGCATATACAAACATGAAGTTATATAACTTGGAATGAAATGATTATAAAAGCTATATTATATTATTCAAAACTGTTCTGAAATCAATATTTTACTAAGGATTTTATTGTCGGCGACACAAAGGGGGTTGTCTGCAATTTGACGTTTATTAAAGAATTACTGTTTAAACACAGGCTGACAATGCCGGCATTGGTGTCGTACAGTAACAGGGTGTGGCATTCTGGGACATACTAGGAATGCCGTGCGTTGAATGGGCTGACATTTCAAATAGTACTTTAGAGTGCAACATATGTATGTATCGGGGTTTTCAATTAGACATTGCATAACCTCAATTCAACATATAAATCGTGAATACATATCATTATTAAAATACGACTTTATTGATCCCTACATAGACTATCGACAATCGGTCATACCTAATCTGTTATTATTAATAAATATTGTGTATAAACGTAATAGGCGTGAATAAATTTCGAACGCCGGGACAAGAAGTATGGAGTGCCGTTAGGGACTACAATCCTTCCCGTGAAATGCTTCGCATTTTCTATCAAACGCATTCGGCGTTTAAATGTCTAGGATACACAATTACATTGAGCCCGAGGACTGTCGACAGTAAATACTGTAAAACATGTTTTTTTATTCAGCATGTTATTTGTTTTTTATGTTAATTCATCCTATAATTTTGCTAATTCATGATGTTCCTAATTTAACATTAAGTACATTCTCATAATGAATGATTGTTGACACTTTAGCTAAATTAATATTACGTTGATTCTCGTGTATTGGGTCGAATTCGTTGAAATGACATGTATCAATTTCCATTTTTACAGTAGTTTTAGATTACATGAAGACCGAATGTGGTATGTAACAAAATATTATTCACGACAAACTCGGTAACGTGATAGGTTTTATCATCAATAATTCATAGTTTACGTAATCACAAGGCGGCGACTCATCTCTGATGAATACCACTTCACATATGTAGCTGTAGGACGAATCAGATATAATTATAGTTATTACGTAAAGAAAATCGCCACCAAAAAGCACGTGCACGCAGTGAAATTAACGGGGGGGGGGGAGTAACAAATAATAGGTTTCATATACTATGCTATGAGTATTTAAAGCGGGAGAGTCGTCACCTACGCATGCCTCAGATGACCATAGCGTGTCAATGTTTACAAACAAGCGTCTACTCATGAGCCTTTGCGTTTTTAGCGTGTGTTGTTATCATCGCTTGGGACTCAATTCCCGCGCGTGCGCAGGTGACGACCCTCCTGCTTTAACCAATCTTGTTTGCAGTGCTGTATTGTCATTTGATGTTGTTTACGTGAAGCGTCGAGTGGGTCCCACGTGACATTTTCAACGCATGCATTATAAATACATTGTGTGTAGATTAAAGGGCGACAGTCGTCGTGCCGCGTCCTGCTCGATATGGGACTCATAGCGACGTATACAACGCGTGTAAAATACATTGTTTATTTACATGAAATTCGAACACGCACTGCGCGACGACCACCGCGCTTTAAATTCGAACGCACGCGGCGTTTAAAAATCATCTTGACTTATTAAACGTACTTACCTGCAATATCTTTTGTTCTGCTGTCCTGTTCCAGGATTTCAAATAGTTCCAGTATATCTGCTTTCCCGCCATGGTTCTCACGGAACCTTTTTGCCAAATCTTTGCACACTTCATTCACATTATTGAGTGGTGTATCGGTCGACGTGTCGTCATCCAATGCGATTGGCCTCTCTGGGAGTCCCAGTATCTCATGAATATTCTCGAGCCTGTACAGCTCGTGGCGCTTGAGACACAGTTCAAGCATTTGGTCCTGGGGAGATTAACAAATCGACGTTTTCATATTAGTACTTATTTACAATTTATCAAATCCCGAATGATAAAGCTACGTATTATCGGCTCACGACGATTGTGACACCGCTTCAAAAGTACGTTTTCTTGAAACAAACAATAAAGTAAAAGTGAAATGGACCTTGTTATCGACTAAAATTCCCACATGGGTTGGAGGTGGCGGGTTAGAAAATAGTACCTGCATTTTTACTGTGTTTTCTATCAGCTGTGTAACATTATATCGTAATTCCTCGTTTTCATAACAGATGGATTGCTGCACACAGTCCTTCACGGTACGATCTTTCTGTGTAGAAAACATTTAACATTTACTGTGCAGGATGGGATATGTTAAACAGTCGAGGCAGCGTTCATATATGTGTGTTTAGACATTTCTCTACCTGTATTAGCTCGTATTTATATTGCACGAGAACAAATACCAATTATGTGTTTGTTTTAAAAAAAAAATAATGTCGGGAAAGCAGAAATAATCCCAACAAAATATTACTTTATACTATGTTTTTTTCCCTTTGAATATATGGATATTATACACACAGAAAAGCTTTCTGAACTCAAGTCTAGAGGAGGGAACATAGTTTTTCTGTATCGACAAATTTACAATATCTGAAAATAGCAACTGCAGCAGAAATGATAAAATTACCATCGTGAAGACTAAAGTATCGACAATCTGTTAACTCACAGCTAAGTAACTGTGTCTTTCCAAGTCATTAATGCGGTGGTTCGCGTTTCCCTAGTGTTCTCGTGTGTCGTAAGAATTATAACACCTACACACTGATACGGTATTATTCTTGTAAACACCGTGACATACAAAACGACCAGCGATAAAACAAGAGGACACGCTTTGACGAAATACGTTTAGTTTATTCTGCGAGTGAAATAAACTGACTGGCATTATTCTCTCGTGTTTGTTCTTCAACATACACAAACACGCAAACCCCTCACTACTACAATATCACTAGAATATAAATCGGAAAACCCGATATACATCACACATCTGGGGCCTTTATTCAATTTGTATGATGCTAATATATTATTAATTTCTTAAGGCGCAAGGTGCAGTTAATTCAGCGCCTCGCGAACATATGTTAACTTATTGAATTGACGCTTACTGTATAGGGATCAACTGTGTACGGTGATCTGTGTTTCGTGGGCAATTTTCCTGCGAGTAATCCACAGATCTAAAAAAAAAATATTAAAGGGCGGCAGTCGTCACGCCGCGTTCTGTTCGATATGGGACTCATAGCGACGTATACAACGCGTGTAAAATACATTGTTTATTTACATGAAATTCGAACACGCGCTGCGCGACGACCACCGCGCTTTAACGCTGTAAACGGTGCTCCCTTCACTTATTTACGTCTCAACAAATCTTCGACTATAGGGGGCGTGATTGTTATGCACGATGTTGTCTGATAAGCACATGGAGGAATAAATTATACCGTAATTTAAAACTTATTCCATTGATAGACATTGCGACAAGTCGAATTTTCTGTTTGCAGTAGATTATTTTGTATTAAATGATTACAAAAACCTCCCTTGTTTGTTTTATAAACATAATACAAGAAAAGCAGTATTACTTTTAAACAAAACAAAATAAAACATCTATAATGCTCTCTAATCGAAGTAACTCGGGGTTCTGTTAATTGAACCATAGATCCAAGGTCTATGATTGAACATCGAGTTACAATTTGGGCATGGTTTGGCAAAAGTGGGGGTTATTTTTTTAAACATATGGGCGTAATAATTTTTTTAACTCCATGTTCGTAACACAATGTATGTAACTCGAGCGATTGCCATGTGCATCTCGAGAAACAGCTGTGTTCGGCCCGGTGTTCGACTATGAATTCGAAAAGACAACTTGTTTGACTTAGCAATCGTTCACCATTTTATTCTACAGCATATTGACGGAAGACCAAAGTTATCCTAATAATAAGGATGTTATGGGCGACGTCTCGTTTACGTCAGAGAATATCATCGTCTCTAGAGGGCGCATTTTATATGAAATGTGTATTACCGTATAAGTACGCCGAGCCAGACGAATACTAGCTAGTTGTAAATGACAAGATTTTAATTTAAATACGTACCTCGTCCCGCACTGTAACGTCTGCTGCATATACAATCAATAACCTTGTGACATCACTGTGGCCGTACCATGCAGACAAATGAAGCGCTGTCTCACAGTACTGTGTCGAACAATAAATGGCAATGTAATTAAATAATGTTTTGCAATATTCAAATGTGATAAAACAAACTCCGTATTTCGTCGTATTTCCTATGCTGGCTTGTTTTACGCACAAAACACGGCTTGTACGTTCGTTATGGAATTCAACATCAAATTATTATGCATATATAGGACTAGTGAAAAGATTGCATTAATTGCCAAATGTACACATAAGTATGTTAAAGCGCGGTAGTC